CCTGATTCTGAATCGGGGCAGCCGGATTCCGAATCGGGCGGATTCCAAATCCGGGTACAACATATATATATATAATAAACTTACTATATTCCTTTATGTCGATTTTATCCCCATCAACTAATGGCTCTGTAGGATTAAAATTTCCATCCTGAAGTTGAAGTCCACGATCAAGTTTTAATAATTTCACGAATTCCCTTGCTCTTGCTGTTTCGCCCATAGTGCACTGATTATACAATTCAAATATGTTACGTACGTGCAATTATATCTTAGAGAAAAATAATATGTAAAAATTGAAATCAAATATATCCTAAATGATTATAAAGTGTATGTAAATACTTTATTGAATTCCTGCTTGGCGTAATCTTTAATGTAACCGTACACCTTAAAGTTAGGGAATATTTGATTTCACGTATTTTGTTTACTTTATAGACCCCGGGCATGTATTGTTATCTGCAATATGCACAGACATTCCAGTATAAAAAAAAAATTTTTGCACAACATATTTGTGCGGAATTTTTAACACTGACCCGGGTCTAGTACCCGCCCAGAGGTTATCGTTATATCGTGAAAAGAAAAAAATGGAACTTGTATATACTTAATTCTACGTTACATTAACTCTGGAGAGATGGTCCATAATCATGTAGCACATTGAAATCAGATTATCGACTTCAATAAAGTATTTATGTGCGCACGAAATAACTTGTTTATGCTTACAGTTTTTAGATTTCTTGTACCGTACGTATTCCGCTAACTCTATTCGTATTAACCAATCATATTGCAGCATTAGTTAAAACGTATATTTATTTGTATTTTTTTTTATTTGCGTTTTTTTTCATGTCCATCCCTTTTTACAAGCTATGCACGTACATACTTTATTTTATGTTAAAATCTAAAAAAAACTCTTGTACATGTGCATCTTGTGCAAGCCAATTTTTAAAGACAGCGATAGAAGTTTGATTTTCAATCTACACGTGATATTGATCGTCAAATCAAAGACTTATGAGTCCTCGCTAATGTTTCGGACAAAAACATTAAAACGCTTGAACAGTAACTCTATTTACTTTAATAGTTAATAAACCAATGCAAAATAAAAGGTGGTCGGGACAAAAAGTTTTTTGACTTAAATTTACTCGTTGATCATTTTTTTTTACTGTTGAAATTTTTCTTTGATTTATTCTTTGACTTAATCGCTGATCATTTTTTTACTATTGCATTTTTCTTTGACCTAAATAAAAATCACGTGTCCTGTACGTTGTTAAGCAAGCACGTCTGAAATCTGTGACAGGTTATGTCGATCTTTAAATGTATCTATATAACTAAAATTTCGTGCTGAAAACTTACCTATATTTAGAAGGCAAACTGTGGTTATCATAGTAAAACCTTTGAGTTATTTACGATTTTTCTGTTTTCTCGAATTTTTTATGTTACACATGATCTTGTGATTTTATTGGCAACCAGTCACAGATTTCTAATGACATTTGATCGATTAAAAATATTTTCCGCTAATTAAATTTTAATTCCCGACACATTTTGGTTCATTTGCCGAGGCGCCCTAAAGCATTATTAGCTAGACATAATTCCATTCTATTATTTTATTAGGGCTTTATAATTTATCACTATAGCGATGTATCGCTATTTCAAATCAAAATCCTGAAAATCAAAATCCCGAAACTTAATTGTCGTCCGCGTTACGTCGGGATTTCAATATTCGAACTCCGAAAGATTAGTAATTTATAGTTAATCTATATTACTAATCGTTATCACAACGACATCTCAAGGGTAGCAATTCATCGCTATGGCGATAAAAAATTCTTGTTTGGATTATAAATAGACAAATATTTTTAGATTTAAATTGGCATATATATAGATATAAATTATTATAAAATTTAGATTGAGTTAATGTATAAGTTTATAGAATAATTCAAGTATTAGTTCAAATGCATAAATATATGCATCTAGACTTTATTACTTTACATAGGACTCATTTAGACTCTTTTGATTCGGATCTTTAAGGAATCGGTTCGTGCGGAACACTACTTTAAAGTGTATTATATGTTATCAGAGCAATTGATTTCATGAAATTGGTTTAATTATTTGCTAAATATTTACAAAATATTTGTTTATTTAATAACTACTTATTAAATATAAGGTTATGTTAGAAATGCAAGTACAAATACTTATAAATATTTAAAAAATTAAATATTAATAAATATTTAAAAGTTTAAATGCTTAAATAATATAAGTCGTGATGTTACAATCATACGTACGAAAGTCTATTCTACATTAAAATCAAATATTTCCTAAAATGTTAACTACGGTAACTTTATTGAACTCGATAATTTAGGAATATTTGTACTATATATGATTATGCGTTAATTCTACGTATAAACACACGAACTACACCCAGATAGTGAAAGTGGTGGTACGAGAGTGGTTTTTGTAAAACTACTAAACGATTTGACCCTAGCCTTAATAAAAAAATTTTTTAAAATTTGTGCTACTAGGCTTATAGATTTTATACATGTGATATTATCAACGACCTTAATTTCAGTGTTTTTTTTTATACGGCGCAAAACGTTAAAGATTAATAACAGCAAAATTGCCCAAAGATGAACAATTCTATAGTAACAAATTATCATGGAGAAATCCATGATGGAGAAAATGACAAACGCAAAAGCATGATGCAGTTTTTACAAAATGCGATTCCTAAAAAAAATGTTACAATTACAATAAATCTCAATGGAGAGATTTACGCTAAAGAAGAGTTAAATTCAGAAAAATCACTTGCCTGGGTTCGAAAAAATTTATCAAATTTGCATACAAAAGATGGTTTTCCTAAAGAAATATCCGAAGTAAAATTTTTAGATAAGATGGGTGACGTTATCTCCCAAAATGACGAAGAGAATTATAAATTGGCGAATGTTCTTGATAATAAAAATATTTTATATATCGTATATAAGAAAGAACTTTTATCTAAACTAGTTAAAGACCAACATGTTAATACTGATATTGAAGTGACGATAAAAATAGAAGAAAAACCTAGTTTCATTGAATTTCTAGATATATCCAAGTACCTTTCAGATATTCGAGAACGTTTATCAGATCTGTATAAAAAAAATCCAAAGGGACGCCAATGCATTCATGACAATATGTATTTTTTAAATGGAAAGGATATCATCCCCAAGGGGGAATGAAGAAAACTATACATTGAAACAAGTGCTTCAAAGTGATGAAGGTAAAAGTAATATTTTAAAAGTTAAACAAGATTCATCTATTAGCGAATCAGAAATTAATGAAAATTGTAAATTGGAATATGGAATTAAGATTGACGGTAGACCTAATGAAAAGGCTTTTGAATTCAAACAAGGGCTGGAAATTACAATACACGATGAACCTAAACACCATAGTAAAAGCATTAGAGAAAGTATCGCTTATGAAAGCAATTACAATAAAGATTTTTCTTTTGATATAAAGGCTTATGCGAAGTTACCTTGGTTATCAGCCAATTTTGCTGCATCATATGAGCAATCAAAAGGAAGAATAAATAATAAAAAATATGATAAAAGTGAAGATATTGACTTGAAAGAATATGCCGTAATAAAAATGGATAATGTTGTTCCAACTGAGGAATTTGTTAAAAGAGTGAGCAGTGCCTTAAAGAGTTATAATTCCATTGAAGAACTTAAAAAGGTCTGCAATGAGTATGGAGATTTTTGGGCACGTAAAGTGTACTTAGGAGGAAAAATCGAGAAAATTCAAACTAAATTAATAGAATCTAATGTGCAAACCGGTCAAAAAACAATAAAAACTGATGGTGGAATTGGGATGGAAAATACTTTAGGTGCAAATTTGCAGTATAACAGTACAGCAAGTAAAACAGATACTGACACAAAAAGTATTGTCGAGTCTGAATCCATTGGAAGAAATATTAAGAATCTTGATGATTATCACAATTGGAATATAATTAAATATGAAGACATGGTTCTGATTTTTGAAATTCTAAAAAAAGACGAGAAACATCTTGAACTTTATAAACAAGTTCTTAAAACTTTAGGGAAAAAGATTCTTCATTTTGAAGTAAGAACTTTAAAGCCTGAAGATTCGGAACTTCTCAAGTTAAACATACCAAATAAATTTCAAAAAGAAAACCCTGAAAATTGTCAAATTTTTGCGACCATAATAAATAACAAATGTAATCACAAAGGTACATTTTCTGTTCAAGTGCTTACTTTCTCCGGTGGTGCCTTTCTTAAAATCCACCGGGTCGGAAAGTATAATAAACGAAAATATCCTTTAAAAATATGCTGGGGAATTATTGGCATTCCTACCGATTTTGAGTATTCAAATATAAGGATAAACGGCTACAGTTTTGGCAATCATGACATTTGCAACAATTGTAAAATCGAAGGAGTCGAAGGAGAGGACCGAAGCAATTTTATCCGATAAACATGATGAAACTAAAGCCTATCCTCTAGTTACCTACGTACTAAAAGACGATACAAAATATTTGAATGATAATGCAAAAATAATTACTGATATTCATTGTCATATTCTTCTCTACTGGAAGAAATTAAAAGTGTGCCTTTATAATTATAATCTGGACGAGCGCAAAAAGGAAAATTGTAATAACCTATCAACTTAACTCTGGTTTGTGTTTTCATTATGAACGTTTAAGACTTTTTTCGTTACTATTTTTAATTTCTGTAATTCTATTTACAGCATTATTTGTAATGATTCCGGATCAGAATTACCTAAAGGACAATTTTCAAAAAAAAGATGCATCATAAAAAAAGGACACGATGGTTATGTGAAGCACCACCAACTTTCGCGAGTCTTTATCATCATAAAGACAGTTGTGTTTCAGGATTATTGAAGCTTACAACTAAAGATGCCGCTTTTAAACCATTAGATAATACTGATACTTCTTTTGAAGAAACTCCACCCGTGTTATATTATATTTCGATCCCCAGCATCAGAGTAAATTAATTATGATTTTAAATTAGAATATTCAGTTTTTGCTTAAAAGTTTTCAAACATATTAAAAAGGTTCAAAATTTCTTGCTACTTGTATAATTATACAAAGATTTGTTTTTTGTTTGTTTTTTTTTTTTTTTTTTTATAAATTATACTATATTTACTAGGCTATCAAATTTTATCGTTATAATTCGGTTATTCGAATAACCTGAAGGTTAACCTGTTATAATACTTTAATAATGTTAAGTAGTTCAAATGAATCAGGTTTGAACCTAGTTCAAAATATCTCGTTTAAAGCGGACTATAGTACCTTGGATACGATACATCCCACAGTTAAAATCTAAGTTAGTACCCGGGTATTATATAACACGGGTAGAACAATAAATATTTTTCACAAGTATTCTTTCAAAATTATTTGGTGCGATATACAACTTTTCCAAATATTTTCTTTATTATCGAAATTCTTTCCGTATCTCTTTCACATGTAATATAAAAGGTTGGAAAATATTTAGAATATATTTAGAAAGGTTGCATATCACACCAAGGATTTTTGAAAGAATACTTGTTGAAAAGGTTTATTGTTCTACCTGTGTTAGTAACTTTGGGTTAAGTAGTAGGTCGATAATATGTATGAATATATAAGTATTATCGTTTCATTAATTATATGGGATCTTTGCTAGGAAAATCACCCTTCGACATTTTCCGATCGGGCCAATTCGGACAAATTCAAACCAATATATTAGTACCTATTTGCATGTAAATCATTTTTTGCTTTTATTGGTTCAAACGTTCATTCGATAAGCTATTGAATCAATAAGCTATAATCCGCTATAGTGTAATAGCGGTTTTACTAGCGAGATTATATATGATCCGATATACAGTATTAGGTTTATAATATTTCGTGTTAGAAATATAAATACAGAATTTGATATAGTTAGACTCTCAACCTACGTCCTATGAAAAACCTCTCTAAATACATGCCTTCACATGGGCCCAACTAATAGAAGGCTACACAAAGTCATTTTTCGTTTTGCATTACACAGCATCCGAAATTTCGATCGGGCGGTCAGATTTTTTTTTTTGTTACAGCTGTTTTCATAATTTCTGGGACACCTAACAAAAAATTAGCCGAATGATTTTTCGGTCGATTCGGTTATGTTATTGATTTCAGTATAATAGATTCAATGTGAAATTTAAGGTCAGGTGAGACTAATATAAAATCCATATAAAATGTTCGTTCTAAAAAAAATTGTTCGAAATGGTGTCGATTTTCCAAAGAGGAGTTTATTCTTATACCGTTTTCATTACGGGACGTTAAAATAATGTTTAATTAAATGCTTATCGTATAATATCCAATAAACATCCTGTAAATATTCAATACGGAGTCGATTTGCCAACAAAAAATCGGATGATGTCAGAATGATCCCAAAGGATTATTTTATAGGGAATATTATAAGACTACATACGCATATCTACTTTTAAAGCATTTTCGCTGCAAATGAAAAAAAAAACTTTAGAGGGCTTATTAATTCAAAAAATTGGTAAACACTTAGGTGTTAGCAGAACTTTTACAAATCGAGTTCTCAAGCACTTAAAAGAAATGGATGTAATAAAAAACTTTTGTATATAGGTTAATAATATGAAGTTGTGGGTTATAATGTTTATAGATTTCGTGAGGAGAGTTAAAGGAATAACGATTATTAAATATATTAAAGACCAGTTTGATATTAGAGAAGCATTAAAAGTTGGTTACAATTTTTTTTTATTAGTTAAATTTATTAGAATTCTGGAATAGATTTAAACATTTATTTTTTTGTATTTATCGTTTTTGTTTCGTTTTTTTTGTTTTATTTTTTTTTGATTCGTAATATACAGGGTCCTTTTTTTAATAAAATTTTGGGTTGTCAGAATTTTGCCTGCGACAAGATTATAGTTTTAGGATTAAAGTCATCGATATTTCATGGTAAAGGCTTCTTTCAGTATTAATTTAATCACGGCTATAATTATTTTTATGCATATTAGTTTTTTTATTCGCCAATAAAAATTTTTCGATATCACGGGGATGTTCTACAAAAATTGGCAAATCACAATGAAAGCCCGCTATGCTCTTTCTGGGGTGTTTTGACCCGGGTGGGTCTTACTCGGGTCACACGGGTTGAGTTGTAACAACCCGGGTAGCCAACCCACAGGTCAACCCGCGGGTTAACCTGTAGGTTGGCCCGTGGGTTCATAGGAAAATATTCGTATGATTGGTTGATATAAATCAATTGCCCGGATAATTTATTTACCGTACCCGTGGGTATCTTGATCGATGACTTAACGTGAAAAATGCCATGCAAAATACCCGGGTATTATCCATGGTTAAAAAAAAATGCTATACAAAGTATCCGGGTATTTTGAGTGAGGGGGTAGGCAAAAAGGATTTTACTTATTTGCGCGGGTAACACAAACCAAAAAAGGGGAATGGCTAAAGCCAGGTACATCACGATATTACCCGATTTTTCCGATTTTTAATTAAGATCGATTAATATTGGGGTTGGGATTAGATTAAGTTGTTTCTATAGTAAAATCGCATTTCCGATACTTTTACTTAGTGAACCAAGACCGGTTTAGATAGCCAATTTTTGTATTTTTCGTGTTTTAGTCTTTGGCGTCTCGC